GACACGACACGACACACACACGACACACTGGTGTGAGTGCGGTTCTAAGGTTCTGCAGGAGGGCCGGCCGGCCAGCGGTACCCTGGTGGTCCCAGTACTGGTCGAAGCGATGCTTGAAAATGTAGAGGCCACGCCACCCGCCCGGCCGCCCAGCTGGGCCGCCCACGCCTCGTCCTTGGGCAGCACCTGCCATCGCTACACAACCAAAATTAAAGAATATTTATTTAATAAGAATAAAAGATCTGAGTATTTTATTTTATTTTATATTAGTTTTGCAGGGGCAAGGTGCACAAAAATAAAATAATTGTATATTGAATTATTGGGGGGGGGCGCACGGAGGTGACGAGGGGGCGCCAGAGGAGGTCGTCGTCGGCCACGCGTAGCCAGTCCTGGCACACCTGACGCGAGAGCACCAGGCCGTCCGCCGAAAGCCAGCTCAGCACGCCCACCAGCACCTCGTCCGCAAGCTGCACCACCGACGCCATGGCCTCTTCTTCTCTGCTTCTCTTCTTCTATTGCCGCCTTATCCCTTTGTGCTTTTATTTATGTATTGATATTTATATTGGAAAATATTAATTTATATTTATATTTCTATGTTTTTCATTGGCAGTTCGTCAGCGTCCGGTGAAGCCGTGGGCGTAGATGCGGTCGCGGGTGATGTGGAGCACGGTGTCCACCATCCGCGCCATCGATGCAAAGTGGGCCTCGTAGACCGTGGCCAGCTTCTCGCGCATGCGGGCCAGCGCCTCGTCGTCGATCCGGCCGATCACGTCGGGTATGCTCGCCCACTGGCTCTCCGGCACCTGGCGCAGATCAGAGACAGTCAGGGACGCAACCGCGGGTGGGCCAACATCAATGGTAGTGTGGCGGGCAATTAAGGTGGCAGTGGCGGTGGCAAGAAGGCGAGACGTACAAAGATGGCGATCTCGTCCCAGCGGACGGCCTCGGAGAAGGGAAGGACGTAGTTGTCGGCCAGGATGACCGGTACGGCGTTGGCCCGCATGGCCTCCGTCAAGCGATACGAGTGCAGGCCGTTGCCCTATTATTTGATGATGGTTGATAATGATGGTTGATGAAGATGAGCGCAATGGGTGATGAAGGGGCACGCACCTGAACGATGAGGGCGAACTTGGTGTTGAGCATGAGGTCATGATAGTCGCCTGAGTCGCCTGAATGCTGCAAGACAATCCCTGTATGTGTATATTGTCGGTTATGAGGACGTGCCATCACCACTGGTGAGTTGTGTGTGCTTTGGTCGAACGCACCGCGCGACGAATCATCCAGCCCGGCCCTCACCTTCGGCCGAAGCCGGTGTCTGAGTGCGTGGACAATTAGAAAAAGAAAGCTCCGGTCAGGGACTGGTCGACCCTAGAGGCGAACGGTTCAAGAGGTGGTAAGGCGGTACCGGCGATTGTTGCCGCCCTTGAAGGTGAGCAGGTACTTGGACGGCCGGCGGGCGAAGCCGCCCCTGCGGTTGGAGAGCTCGATGGCGGTCTCGTTGACCGGCGCCTGTGCGTAGAGCGGGAACGAGATGTCGAACCCCAGCCGGTACCGCTCCGCCGCGAACCCGCTCTTCACTCCCATCGCCTTTCCTGCACCACCACCACCATGTCGTTACTATGTTGAACTCTATTCACGCATAAAGCGATGTTAACATGAATGATCGCTATAAATAGTGAGGTGGGGTACCAATGTCGTATCGCATCCGTTCGCTGTCGTGGATCTCGAGGACCAGGTGGTTGCGGCCACCGTTCCAGTGGGTGAGCTTGGCCAGCTGATCAGCCACAGTCCACGGACCCATTTCTCCTTTGAACTCGAACTTACTGTGGTCCACCGGCCAACGCTCAGTTGCTGGGCGGCACACCGCACGCACACGCACATGCACCACCGCACACACGCACGACACGAACACGAAATACCACGTACTCCCCTCCACAGGCGCTGATGACGCAGAGCGTGTCCACCTCGGGGAACAGCACACAGGCTTGCGACGGGTCTGGGTCCACAAAAGCCATCACCGCGGTGATCAGCCCGCAATTGCATTCCAGAACCAAGGCGGAGGTACAGATGAGGGTACCTGGCGTGTACCACGGGTGCCGAACCATCGCCTGCTTGAGCGCCGCGTACTGGTCCGAGTCCTCTATTTCTCTGCACGTGCGATGGGCCACATGCAATCAGCACCAGAGGCCACGATCGTGGTTAGATCTGATCACAGGGAAGGAAGCAGTTGTCAAAGTAGTACTTGAGAGATTGAGAGCGAAGTGGGTCGATGGAGAAGCTGAACTTGGTCCTTTGTTGTTCAAAGAGGAGGAGGAAGTAAGGCAAGTGCGTTTGTGGTTGGTGCACATGTGAGTTGTTGCGGTAAAGATGGTGATGTCGGGGCGTGCCTGTCGGTCGGGCAGCGCGAGAAGTCGAAGCAGCTCTGCATCGTGCAATATCCAGTACCCATGTTTGGGTCGCAGTCCGTATAAAATAATCCTGTACCACAAAATAAATAGATATAGATATAAACCAAAAAGAAAAAAATGTCGGAGAATTATATGTACGCCAGTCTTCGAACCACATTATCTTCATGACGCCGAGAGCCCACAGAGTGACCACCATCTGCACGGCCACTATGCCCACCACCGCCAACCGTGAGCACCGATGAGGGCTTGATCGCGAGCACCACCACCAGGCCCTGCTCGCAAGCTGTGGCCGCATCGCCGGCAGTTGAGTTGGTTGTGCCGGAGTGGGAGCCGGAGGATTTTGGCCCTACGCTGATGTTCAAGACGTTTCGAAATAGTTTTGAAACGATTTTAAAAACTCTAACGAAACAAGAAAGGCGTTGGCGCGAAACGCAACAGAATCGTGAAAGCAATTCGAAGGATGGAAAGGGACGAGTCGAGCGAGAGCGAAGAAGAGGGGGAGAAGAGGGGGGTCACATACAACAGACTTCGCTCTATCCTCAAACGAATCAGCCCAATCGAGGAGCTCACCACTTTTCTTACCAGCCACAAGTTTTTCCAAGTCAGCTCGGACTTGGCCAATCCCAATCGCGCCAAGTCCCACATCATCAGTGATCTCAGACGCCACTTAGTACGCTGCAGCCATTTCTTTCATTTTTGATTGAATTTATTTACATTAGAAAAATAGCCGTTTTATATTTATTGACACTTCTTTTCAATCAGGAGGGAGAGGTGACCGAAGACCACGTCGCCGCCGCAGATCTGCTGCTCTGCTGTACGCCCCATTTATTTTTAATACTATTTATTTCTTTATTTAAAAGGCTTGTGTAGCGTACATCATCGTGGTTCACGCTTTTGTCCCACCGACGTGGACGACGTGCAGCGCTGGGGCTCAGACAGCGCACATGGACGACCTACAAGCTCACCCCCAGGGACGAACAGAAGCACACCTCGTCGAGCTCCTCCCCGTACGTACTTGCTACTTTCTCTTCTTTCTCCTCCTGCTGAGCTCAAGCTCTCTTTCTTGTTCTCTGCTTACACGCCTTTCGGGTCACTCACAGGAGCGGAGCCGACCCAGAACAGTTCGCCCGACGGCTCGGCGAGGAAATCGAACTGTTCGCTCCACACGTACTGCACACATTTCTTCTCGCGCATGCGTTGTTCGCGTGCGTGCGTGCGTGCGTGCGTGCGTGCGTGCGTGCGTGCGGCGTGTGTGGTGACACGCGTACGGTGTTAGCTCACCTTCTCTGTGGACGACCAGCACCTGCACGTGCAGATGCACAACGACGTGTTGTGGGCGCGGCTGCGCATCGCGCATCTGGGCGTCGCGGTGCGCACCCACATCGCCTACATCGCCTATTGCCCGCGGTCTCGCGCCGTCTTTGCGAGCAACATCGCAGCCTCGCTCCACGACATCATCATCCACGCCCTCGGTACCCCCCTTGCCTTCCTTTCGCGTGTGTGTATGCGATGGTGCGCGTGCATGCGGTAGTGCGTGTGCGGTGGTGCGTGTGCGGTGGTGCGTGTGCGTGTGCGGTTTAGCGAACACGATGGCTAATGTGTGCTGTACGGCAACCCATTAGAAACCGCTCTGAGCTGCGAAGTGGAGAAAACAAAACTGCACGGCAAGAACGTCAGTACGGCTTCAACTCGCCCCGTGTCTGTTGCGTGCGTGTGCGGTGGTGCGGTGGTGAATGGAATGCTGCTGCGTCGGCGGTTGGTTTGACGCTTACGTTCGTCCCCTTTGCGTCGATTCGATTTGCAGAAGCGCTGATGGACATGATGCTCAACCGGGACGGCCAAGGCCCGTATCGCGACTATCGAGCCGACAGCCACCCACTGCAGCAGCAGCTTTCCGCCGCGGCCGCGACCGACGAGTCGCAGCGGCGGCCCGTGCCGTCATCGCCGCCGCTGCCGGTCGTGGTCGAGGATGCCGAAGCCCGGCACAGGACCGAGCAGCACTTGTTCGACGCCTTCGGCTCGTCGCCCATGCCCGCGCTCGACCAGGTCAACTTCAGGGTATGACCGACCACCTTCCCCCACCACCATCCATGCCGTGTGCGCACGCGGCTCACAACGAACGGCGGCTCGCGCGCAGATTGTGGACTCCTTCCGTGGCGGCTTCGAGCTCGGACCGCGATTCGAGTGCTCGGTTCGGTTCGAGGGACCCAACGTACTGGAGGTACTCGCCTCACGAGCTCGCGTGTCGTGCCATGTGCCATGTGCCGTGTGCGCACGCACTGTGCGTGTCGTGTGTCGTGTGTAGTGTCGTGCTACTTTACTCATCGTGTGTGGTGGGCGCGTAGGGCATCCGTAAGCTGGTGCAACTGGGGATCGCGCAGCCGCCGCTGCCGCACTATCTGGCGAATCTGGCGTCGCTGTGCCAGAACAGCTTCGACCTCGTCAACCCGAACCCGGACACCGGCGAACAGAATCAGGACGCCGGTGGCGCCGCCGAACGACAGCGACAGCGCGGCGGCAAGCGAAAAGAGCGAGACGAAACCACCACGACCACCACGACGTCATCAACTGCATCGTCGTCAACTTCATCATCGGCCACGTCAGCACAAGTACATAGAGACGAGGAGGCCAGCCAGCAGCGTCGACCAACAACGTCCCAAAGGGAAGGCTACGGCATCGTCCAGAGGGGCGAGAAGCGGCGCGGCTGAAGTGACTTTTCTTTTTGTTTTCTTTTTCTTTTTTCGACCAGTAGCAATAACTCCGTGTCACAGCGAACGCCCGGAAATTACCCGGCGCGCCAAGGTGAGAAGAACTGATTTGATCTCGCAGCGAACAGTGACTTGTGAGTCTTACTCGAGCGGGATCCATCGATCGAATCTTTCTGACCGCATTCGATTAGAGACATCGCACAGCGCAGTTTCCTTTTCCTCTTACTTCTTCGTCAATTATCAAAATGTCGCTCAACGTGACGGAGGAAATCACTATCGATGCGCCAGCTGACGCTGTCTGGAAGGTGGTTGGCGATTTCTTTGGTCTTAGCCAGTGGCTCCCCACCACCACCTGCGAGGTACGTGTCATACATGGCCCATCTTCTTGTGAGGTAATGCCATAGATCCTCCCGGACCCCCCCCCGGTACTATATCGTTTGTGATAGACTTTACTTAATGGACACTCCTAACCCCTCGCAGGAGACCGATGCTGTCGATGGCAAGAAGACCCGTCTTATCACCATGACGGTTACTGGCGCCAAGCTTGTCGAGGCGCTTGACGAAGTCAATGAGGAGGCCAAGAGCATCAAGTTCCACGTTGTCGAGAGCCCCTTCCCCATCACCAACTGCAACACTGAGGTAAGTCGGCCCTGCCCCCTCTACAACCTCCAAATGCGAACCCTCGATCTACTCCTTCACTCCATTTTCCAATCTCTGACCTTCTACTCAACAGATGAAGGTGCACGATTTGGGAGATGGCAAGAGCAAGTTCACCTGGGCCAGCGACTGCGACCCCAAGCCCGGCACTGGCGACAGCGTTAAGCCGCTGCTCGCTCAGCTCTACAAGGGTGGCAATGGCGCTCTCAAGGCGCACATGGAAGAAGCCTCCTCGTAAGGGACCTGCTTGCTGCTGGTGCTTGCAGGAGGAGGACTGCGACACGCTACGAGGCGACACTGGTGATGATGATGGATGAAGGAGGAGGAGTGTAGAGTAGCGTGATTGATAGCAACCCTGATAGGGAGGTGCTGAATGGAAGGGCGTGAACACCACCAACGCAAGGCCACAACGAAATGATGATGATAAGGTCCTTGCCGAGTAGAGCAGGCAATAAAAGCGCGACATTCCCTTCACACACGAAGCGGGTGGACTCTGCGTGTAGTGGTTTATGAACAGTTGTGTTGTATTTGCAGAAAGTAGTAGCTGTAGGCAACACTCTTAGTTGCCACCACGGAGACGGAGGACGAGGTGGAGCGTGGACTCCTTCTGGATGTTGTAGTCAGCCAGGGTACGGCCGTCCTCGAGCTGCTTTCCGGCGAAGATGAGGCGCTGCTGGTCGGGAGGAATACCCTCTTTGTCCTGAATCTTCTGCTTGACGTTCTCGATCGTGTCGCTGGACTCTACCTCGAGGGTGATAGTCTTGCCGGTCAGCGTCTTGACGAAGATCTGCATACCACCACGGAGACGAAGAACGAGGTGGAGAGTCGACTCCTTCTGGATGTTGTAGTCGGCGAGCGTGCGGCCGTCCTCGAGCTGCTTGCCAGCGAAGATGAGACGCTGCTGGTCAGGGGGGATACCCTCCTTGTCCTGGATCTTCTGCTTCACGTTTTCGATGGTGTCCGAGCTCTCGACCTCGAGGGTGATGGTCTTGCCGGTCAGAGTCTTGACGAAGATCTGCATACCACCACGGAGGCGGAGCACGAGGTGGAGAGTCGACTCCTTCTGGATGTTGTAGTCGGCGAGCGTGCGGCCGTCCTCGAGCTGCTTGCCGGCGAAGATGAGACGCTGCTGATCGGGAGGAATACCCTCCTTGTCCTGAATCTTCTGCTTGACGTTCTCGATCGTGTCGCTCGACTCGACCTCGAGGGTGATGGTCTTGCCGGTCAGGGTCTTCACGAAGATCTGCATTGTTGGCTTGTGTGTAGCGCTTGTTGTAGTTTGTTTTGTGTTCTACGCTGCGGTCAGGTCACCTTTTTATGCGGCTGGGCCCTTGGGTTCGCAGAACGGAATTGTTGGAGAATTTTTAGCTCAAACACCGATTGTCCGGAAGGAAAACATGATTTCATTGTATTTTCCTTGTATTGTTAGACGTAGCTGATTGTTCATCTCTCTTGGTTCCGAAATGGTACGCCGGCTCCTTTCGAAGTAGTATGTTGCACCGGGTTTGGCGTAGGTATGTATTTAATTTTCATGTATTTGTTTGGGAAGAGCGCGGACGGGCGTTACTGCATGCGAGTGCATCACGCGAAGGCAGCGCTGCTGCTGGACCTCGTCGACGAGGCGTGGGCCAAAGACACCCTCCCCGATGACCGTACGTTCCACATCACGTCGCCCTTTGCTTCCTACCCCCCTCTGTTCTGTTCTCTGTTTAAGTCTTGCCTTGAAGTAAACCACCCCCGCCTTTACGCAGTCCTGATGCTGCCGCTGGAGATGCAAGTCGACCCTGAGACCGACGAACAGAGTGCGTGCACCTCTTCTTGATCAGGCCTCGCGGCTGCGTCGTGAGCCGATGGTCGGCTCCAGCTCCTGCGCCGTCGTTGATCGTCTTACTTTGTTTTTTTCGCTTGCAGAGGTCCCGCAGGAGGACGAAGTGTGGGCAGACCTGGGCCTCGGCGAGTTCACCGAGAGCTGACCCGCATCGCCAAACGGCGAAGCTCACCACGGCCTGCACGACGAAGTGTTCGTCCTACTGGCCCACCGCTTTACACAGCACAACACCTTCCTCTTCCCACCTCCTCTCAAGACACAACACAGCATGACGCTACACAAGAAGAGAGGCGGGGTTGTTATGTCACAAATGTGTGGAGGTGTTTGCATTCTTGTTACAACATGTGGAGGAGAGTACTGATGAGATGTTTCCAGCAGCACCAGCCAGCAGGTAGAGAGAAGGGGAGGGAGAGTGTTGGCTATGTACAACCCAACGGGGCGGTTAGTTGGTTTGGTATTGATTGGGTCACCGTGTGCTGGTCAGCCCTCTACAATGTAGGCCTGCTGCTGCTCTGCCTCCTCCTCACCCAGCTCCTGTCCCCAGGCACAACAGCAGATGAGCCAAGGAAAGCATGGAAAGGCAAGAAAGACCCGCAGACCCGCACCTGCTGCTGCTGGTACATCGTCGGGTCGCCAGATGCCATCTGCTGCTGCTGCCACTCGTCCACGTCGAAGCCCTGCTCATCGAGCGTATGCGGACTTTGTGCCGTGTCATACATCCTGGCCGTTGGTTTGGTTGGTTTGGTTGGTTGGTTGTGATGACGTCAGCTTCTTCACACATTGGTGCATGCGTGGGGCGGGGGAGTACCAGGAAGGGGAGTAGCCGAGCGGCATGGCCATGGGCTGGCCCTGGGGGTAGGCCCCGTACGGGGCGAAGCCCGCGGACGACGAGGCCCGCCGGCCAGCCGGGTAGTAGTTGGGCGCCATGACCTCGGCCGACGGGCTCTGCTGGCCCGCGCCGCCGCCGCCGCCGCCGTAGCCGTACCTCCCGCCGCCTCCTCCGCCGCCGTGATATCGCTGGGGCGACGCTACCGCGCCTCCGCTCCCACCCATGTAGACCGGCATTCCGCCCATCTGCACAACAACGTGAGTGTCGTGGTGCGTGTGCGGCCGCGTGTGCGTGTGCATGTCGTGGTGCGTGTGCGTGTGCGTGTGCGTGTGCGGTGGTATGTGCGTGTGCTGTGTGCGGGAGAGGGGAGGGAACCATCATGGGGACGGGGTAGGGGAAGCTGGTGGCGTAGTAGGGGCCGGGGCCGGGGAGGTAGGGGTTGCCACCGGTGGCCAGGCTGCTGAAGTACTTCTGCGTCCGTCGCTTGTTCTTCATCTCCAGCGACTCGCAGTACTGCACTCGTATCCTCCGCTCCAACCACTCGGCTCCGTTCTGGCAACGCCACGTATGCGAAATTTCATATAGTCAGAGCTATGCAACACACATATATACGTTGTTGCAATGTAACATAACACTACAATATGTTGTGTTTGTTCATAACAGGAAGGAGCGGGCCGAGGCCACACGCACCTCATGCTCGATGGCCGACGCAGACGACGAGGCGTGTCGGAATCGGACGAAGGCAAACGCATTTCGCGGGAGCGCTGCGGGATTGAGAGTGAGTCGAACGCACACACGTGTCGTGTCATCTCGTTTGTGCGTGTTGCGTGCTGCGTGTGTCGTGCGTTGCGTGTGAATGTCGCACCCATGGAGTTCTCCTGGGCTTCGTCTCGGTTGATGAGGGTGACCGCGTCGACTTGGCCGTAGGCCCCGAACCGCTCCTCGAGGGCTGCCTTGGTGACCAGCAGCGGGTTGAGCCCGCCGACGAACACGTTGTACTTGTCCACGCCCAGCACGTCCGGGTCGTTGCTGCTCGTGGCCCACTCCACCACCCATTTCCGGAACTGATTCTTCAGGCCCTGTTGTTGTTGCGCACCCCCGCCACCTTAATCAGCCGCCACCACCGCCATCTTCACTAACGCACCTCTCGTTAAGGTGGTCGGGGCCACACAGCCACCTTAAGAAAGCGAAAGCGAAAGCGAAGGCGGAGCGTACGAGATAGGCGGCCATGGCGTCTTCCCGGAAGACAAACTTGACAAAGCCGCAGCCCTTGCTCTTCTGGGTCTGGTGGTTCTTGATGACCGTCACGATCTCCACCGGCCCATAGCACTCCACCGCCTCCCTCAATTTCTGCGCCGATTCAGGGGTCAGTGCTGCGTGTCGTGTCGTGTCGTGTCGTGTCGTTGGTCGTGTCGTGTGTGTCGTGTGCGGTGAACTTACCACATTGGTGAGGGAGCGGTTCATCTTGGCGATGAAGAGTGTGCGATTGACTTTGGCCTTCTCCACTCGTAGTCGACGGCCGTCCAGCGCCACGTTGTTGGTCAGCAGCAACGCATTGTTGGCCTCCTCCGTGCTCTAATGCCACACTCTCTGTTAGTCACCGCACACGCCACACACCGCACATGCCACACGCCACGCCGCACACGCCGCACACGCGCTGTACATGGCAGGAACGTACGGAGTACTGGACGAAGGCGTAGGGACGGGAGGAGCGGTCCTTCATGAGCTTGATCTTGAGGACTTCGCCGTGGGTGGCGAACAGCTCGTGCAGGGCGTCCTCCGACGTGTCCGGCGACAGACTGGCCACGAACAGGCACGCCTGCGGTGGTCCCTTGGGCTCACCACCACCGTCAACGCCTCCGCCTCGTGTTCGTGACATGAACCCATCATCATCATCGCCATCATCGCCATTACCATCATCACCGTCATCGCCATGGCCGCTACTATAGTCCACCAGTCGATGGTGTGTCTCTTGGTCCTTGTCGTGTGGTTGCTCACCTTCGTCTTCTTTGGCCTTGCCGTCGCTGTCGTGGTTGGGGTCGTTGTGGTCTTCTTCAAGGTCACCGTGACCTGTGCCGCCGCCGCTGCTGCCGGCGTCGACCACGGGTCCATCGCCCTGCTGCTGCTGCAGCTCGTGCGGGTCGGCGTCGGCGTAGCGCCTGCCGGCCGTCGTTTCTGTGCACGTGCGGGCCAAAGGTCGCGTCAGCATATGTGCAAAAGTTAAAAATGCAATATAAAATAATGCAGCTGTAGGCAACATGCCGTCGTGTGTGTTTTATGTGTAGCCAGGCGTATGGTTGCCCTCCAGCCCTTCTCTTTGGGCTCATCAAGCAGTTAAAGAAAGCAGGGGGGGGCATACGAGCAGCGGTGGACATGGTGCGTCGTGGCCAAAAGCGTTTGTTCACGTTTGTTGTTGTGTTACGGTGAAGAGAAGTCTTGCTTCGGCGTTTTTTCCTCGAAGCGAAGACAGCTTTGTTTCGCCCAGCAGCTCGGTTTGAACGGCTGTGCAAGGCTCTCTGCTCAGTGTTGTCTTCTTGTCTTCTCTTCTTGTTGTTGTTTTTATCTAGCCAGACTGCGTGGTGACCGATGTGCGTGTTCGTTCTTTTTCGTCGTTCCAGTTCCACCCCACGCCCCAAAAACGGCCGCAGGGATTCTTCTCGTTGGCGTCACCTTTCCCTGAAGATTCCCCCTTTTTTCCCACATTTTGAACTATCTGAAATTCCACAACATAAAATTCCAACTATTTTCAAGTGTTTGAAATTCCTCTGCTGTGGGCCGACCGAACGGCGGCGAGGGCGGCGTCGACGGACATGAGCTCGCCGTAGGCCGTGACGTTGGCCAGGGCCGGGCAGCCGTCGAGTCGCGTGATGCGCAGGCGGGCGCTGTAGCCGTTGGCCATGATGTTGAGCGAGGCCAGGGCTGGACAGTCGGCCACTTCGAGCGTCGACGCGTCGTCGACGGCCAGGGCCAGCTTGCGCAGGCGGCGCGCCTGGGCGACCTCGACCGCGATGCGGCTGCGCTGCCAGACCGAGAGCGAGCACAGGGCGTCGCAGCCGGCGCTCACCACCACCTTCGTCGCGTGCACCTGGTGGAGTACGACCTTCTGCACGTGCGGTGCCACGGCCGCGAGATCGAGCCGACGCGACGGGTCGTTTTCGTCTTCGCTTTCGTTGTTTTCCGCTTGGCCACTACGAAGTGGCCCGAGCGCCAGATAGCGGAGCGCGGGCAGCGTCGTGCGGGGCAGCAGCAGGTCCGGGCTCGGGCCGTCGGCAGCCCTCTCGTGGGCCGGATCGCGGTACGCCGCGAGGTGGAGTGTGTGCAACCGCGGGCACGCGCCCAGGACCACGTCGAGCGATGCGGTGTCGATCACGCAGTCCAGGTCGAGCTCGCCCAGCAGGAGCGAGGTGCCGCCGAGCAGAGACGCGACCGCGCCGGCGTCGGAGCGCGGGGTGCGGCCGGTCAGCGAGAGGAGGCGCAGCCGCGGCAGGCCCACCAGCAGCCGGCCGAGCCAAGCGCCGTCGTCGGAGCGCGACGACTGTGGTGTCGACGCGTCGATGCCGTTGACCTGGAGGTCCTCGAGCAGTGGCGAGTGAGCGACGAGGTCGTCCACCAGCCCGAGCAGATCGCGGAGCGGATAGAAGTTGAGGTGGCAGCTGCGCAGCTGCGGGCACGTGAGCCGCAGGCGGGTGTCGCCCGGGCCGTACATACGAAAGGCCTCGAGGCCCGTGTGGCGCACCAAGTGCTCCACCGCACCGCCACTGTCATCTCTCCCGTTGTCGTCGTCGACCGGTGCGTGTGTCCACAGCTGCGTGTCAACGCCGAGATCGACCTGGCGCAGCGACGGCAGAGCTTCGAGCGACTCCCACAGCGCGCGGGAAAGCGGCAGCGCGTCGTCGCTACCGTGGTGGCCCAGCCTCAGCCCACGGAGCTTGAGCGAGGTGAGACTGGACAGCCCGGCGGAGCCCAAGGCCGAGAGGAGTGAGTGTCGACACCTGTCGAGGACCACGAGCGATGTGAGGTTCGGCAACGTAGACAATATGGACGACCACGCGGCGGCCGTCAGTCGCTGGTGGCCTGTGAACACCGCCTCGGGCTGCGACACGAACAGCTCGCGCAGGCCGGTCAACGCCTCGAAGCTCGCTCCGAAAGATTCATTTCCTGTCGGCGCCTCGTTGTCGTTGTCGCTGCGTGGCGTTGTAGTCGTTGTCGTTGTCGACACCAGCAGCGCCTCATCGTCGCCAACGTCGGGAAGCAGCGAAAGCTGGCGCAGGTGCGGAAAGTGGGCCAAGATCTCGAGTCCGCGGGGGCCAGGCTGGTCCACCGCGAGCACCAGGTTCTCCCACCGGAAGCCCGCCTCGGCGGTCTCGTCGCCCCGTCGAAGTCGGTCGAGCAGCCGGCGGGTGAACTCTGGCCGGAGCTCGACGCTGCCGTTGCGCAGGCGTCGCGCGTCCCACAGGGCTTCGAGAATCTGGTCCTGCCTCGACGCCGCGGTCTCGGTTGGCTGCGGCGGCTGATCCATGGCGGCAGCGGCGGCTATGCGCTCGGCACGCCGGCGGAGCTTGACGCCGCTGGGGTGGATGACGTGGTCCGACCGGCCGAGCACTTCGAATCGGCCCAGCCGACCCGACTGCTGCAGCAGCTCGAGCAGGCTCAGCGGCGGGAACTCCAGGCGCAGCTCGGTGAGCCGAGGCAGCGGCATCGGCGGTGCGCCGATGCCCTGCGTGCCGAGTTCGCAATTGTCGACGTGGCCGGGGAGCGATGCCAGGGCCAGCCGGTGCAGGAATCGCTCCGAGCGGTCCTGCGTCTCCCTGTCCGAGCCGCGCAAGTCCAACGACTGCGCTAACGTAATAAGAATCATCGTCATCGTCATCACCATCATCAGTCGACTACAACATGACGCGGGATGGGGAGGAGTTGTTGACGTGCCTCAAGCTGTGGACAGCTTTCGACAAGCACGGGGAAGAGCACGTCGCCCAGGAGGCTGTTGCCGGAGAGGTCGAGGCGCCTGCCCAACATTCCACGAGAGAGAAGTGAGCTCATGCGCCCACACGGCAAATGGTGCGGGGGGAGGGGAAACAGTGCGTATGACCTGAGCCGAGGAAACGCGCGCAAGGCCCGGAGTCCCTCGGTGGTAATGCCCACGCACTCGGACAAATTCAGCTCCAGCAGCATTCCTGCCGCTGGGCTCTCTCCAAGGCACTCCAGGAAGTCATCATCCACCCTACGTTGTTGTGTTGTGTTGTGTTGTGTTGTGTTGTGTTGTGTTGCGTTGCGTTGCGTTGCGTTGCGTTGCGTTGCGTTGGATGAGATAGACAGGAATCAGGACGGAATGTTGCAGAACGAACCTGGTGTCGGAGGCATCGATAGTGGCGATGTTGCGCCACAGGCGGGCCGTCCGGTCCAGCACCTGCTTGGAGACGTGCGGGCAGTCCCTGCTCGCGTCGGCGTCACACCCACAGCCGCAGTGAGGAGCAGGGCCTCGCACACGGGAGAGAAAGGGAAGAGGAGGGTACGTGAGGGACAGGTGGCCGTGCCAGTCGGCCCCGAAGTGGGCCGACAAGCTGACCACCACCGGCAGCGTGCGATCGTCGACGAGGGACCATCGCCACATCGACTCCACGACTCGTGCACACACGTCTCCGCCCAGCGCGCCCATCTCGCCACTGCCAACCCACACCTACTGTGAGCCACCCATGTAGTGGTATTGGGGGGGGGGGTAAAGCACCAGCACGGCCTGCGTAGGAACGCCACTACTGTGGCATCGAACAAACTGCCCCGCAGAGCTATCAAGCTGCACTGCAGCGCCCCTGGCACTGTCGCAGCGTGCACTGCTTCTTCCATCTCTCAAAATCTTTAATCCTATTTGTTGAGATTTATTGTATTTTCATTCGGTATAAAAATAAAGAAATGATGGCGCTACACCCAGTGTGGCTCCTTGTCGTCGGGTTGGGTGGCGTCGTCATCGTCGGTGTCGGCCTCCTCGGCGCGCTCTTCGTAGGACTTCTCGACGACGGCCTGCTCGACGTGGGTGAGGCCGAGCAGATTGAGGAAGCGCACCACCTTGCGGTCGAGCCACGCCTTGTTGGGCATGACCGCGAGCCAGTCCTTCGGCAGGGCCGAGTAGCCGTACCGTGCGCCCCACAATGCTCCACACACAGCGCCATTCCTATGTGTCGTGTCGTCAGCCGTGTGTGGTGGTGCGTGTTGCGTGTGCGGTGAGTAGTGGGCTAACGAGTGTACACGGAAAGGCTACACGTACGTGTCGGCGTCGCCGCCCTCGCGTACGAGGAGGTTGATCATGTGTTTGAAGTCGTTGGAGGCACAGAGCGCCCAGAAGCCGGAGCCCACGCACTTGAAGGTGTACCCGATCTTGGAGCCCTCGTCCAGCTCCAGGCTCAGCAGGCTCTGCATCGAGGCGTCCCTCTTGATGTGTCGCTTGAACTCATCCACGTGTTCCGCCTCCAGATGCTGATACCAGACAACCCCAATCAGCAATCAGAGGGTTGGGACTGTAAAAATAATAATAACAATAATACAAAATAAAAAATATCCCACAAGATATATATATATCAATTTCTATGCATTATATATTCTATTAGAGTGATAAAAAGAAAAAGGTGGTGAAACCTTGAGCCCGTGGGCGATGGCCTGGTCGATGAGCTGCTGGAGCCCCTCCTCGGATTCGACGTCGTGGCCCTGCAGCATCATCGCAATGGCGGTGGTGGCCGCGACACAGCTGGCCAGGCACCGCGTGTCGAAATGCGTCACCTGCAGGCACCCCCAAAACACAAACATATCAGCCGAGGCTCCTTCTACGAGCGGGCATCAGGTACATTCTCCCGAGCGAGCCTTGCGGTACCTTGGCGATGCGGATCGTGTTGGCGATGACCTGATCCAGATTGTCATAGTTGAGAACGCCCAAAATCGACGTTCGCATCACCGCGCCTGAACCGGACGCACACCACAGGTGTTAACGGTTGTAGTCTCCGGGGGCGAGACGAAAGGGAGAGTGTTGGTTGGCGCACGCACCATTGGGGGCGGCGTTGCGGTTGAGCTTGATCCACGCGGCCTCGGCGGCGGTGTGGGGGTCGCGCAGGAAGATCTCGTTGAAGACCACCTGCGCCGTCGTCGCCCCCAGGCCCATCCCCGCGAAATCGCCCAACTCGGGGAAGCCATTGTTGATCCATCGCTGCCATTATAGACCGCATGTCAGCGACACATACCTCTCACTCCAATGTGTGCGGTGTGTGCGGTGTGTGCGGTGTGTGCGGTGTGTGTGTGTGTGTATGAAAGGTACCTTGAGCTTGGCTGCGTAGCGGTGCTCGTCCACGGAGCCATTCAGTTCGAGAATGGTCTCCATGATGAGGATCATCTGGTCGCTGTCATCCGTCCTGTTGAGGTGTACACACACTCACATTTAGTAAATATATATATATATATAAAAATAAATGAAGCACTCCATTCGGGTGCGCGATGAGGCATCGCTTGCGAGCGAGGTGTGAAGGGCAGCATGCTGTGGGTACCAGTCGCCTCGCTTCCAGCGGCGGTTGTGGGCGTTGAGTTTGTAGTCGGGAAACGGCACGGCTGCGTCACCGTACAGTCCTTCGATCTGCTTCTTGTTCAAGAACTCGGTTGCTACGTCGCGTCGTGTACGCGTGAGTGCAGAAGACCAAAATAAATAAATAAATAATCAAATAAATAACAATACAAGAAATAATGGCAACTCAACGTTGTATAGATATATATATACCAAGACCAACGGCGTCGCCCAAGCAGTTGCCGTAGATGCAGCCGAGGATCTTGTCGATCAATTTGTCATTCAAAACTGATTTGTCCAACTCGGCAAACCACCACTTGTCGTCCTCCACGACAGGAGCGTCATTAACGTTCACCGTTGAGCCCGTCGCAACCTCCTCACCTTGGCATCCTTGCCCATGCTCCTGCCTCGCCTGCTCGCCTTCCATTCGATCAGAACTGAACTTCTTCGTCAGCCCTAATAAAACACCAAGTGCCCTTCTTTGCCTTCGCCAAAAACAACAACCGCCACGGCGAACCAAAAGTAAAAGCGAAGGGCCAGGAGGAGAGTCGAACTCCCAACCTCCGCGTTGATTCCTAATGCGGCACTCTGCCAGTTGAGCTACCCAGGTCCTTCATCCCCCGCATTTCCAACCTAAAAAACAGCTTAAAATAATAAATTAAAAGGAGGAGTGTGTTTGGTGGCGCAACTGCACCCAATACCAGACAGATGGTTTCTTCTGTTTCTTTTTCATCACATCATCACCGATCACAGGTAGTGCACGGTTTCCCTCTTGAGGGCCGGGTCCATTTCCTTGAGCTGTTTCTTCTTCTGGTCCTTGCTCTGCTTGTAGCTCTCCATGACCCGGGCCAGGAGGAGCTGCTTGGCGCGCCGCTCGCGGGCCTCCTTCTCCTCCTGCGCCTTCTCCCGTTCCTTCTCCTCCTCGGTCATCTTCTGGCGCCGCTCGCGCTCCTCCCGCTTCTCCTCCTTCGACATCTTCTTCTTCTCCTTCTTCTTCTTGGCCCCGTCGTTGGGCGACTGGCCCTGCTGCTGCTTTTGCTTCATCGCGTCCGCCACCACCGCTGCCGCCGATTTCTGCATTCGTCGTTACAGTGAGTTCCATGTGTCGCGCAGCGGTGTGTGCGTGTCGAGTGTGTGTGTCGTGTGTGTGTCGAGTGTGTGTGTGTGTCGAGTGTGTGTGTGTCGTGTGTCGCGTGTGTGTTGTGGGTGTGTGTGTGTGTGTGTGTCGTGTGCGGCGGTATGTGTGTGCGGTGGTGCGTTAGTGTGTGCGTGTGTCATTGAGTGTGGGTGGTTCTACCTTGACGCGGGGTTTGGAGGTGAGCGACGGGGGCTGCTGCACGACTTCACCGAACTTGACGCTGTCCTTATGTACGAAGTCCTCGCCTTCCTTCTTCGCCAGCTTCCTCTGCTTTCGCCTCTCCTCCTTCTCCTTCAACTTCCTAAATACCGTTATACACACGAGCTTAGTTACCATATTGCCGCGCGCGTGTGCGTGCGTGTGCGTGCGTGTGCGTGTGTGCGGAAGGGGTCGGTACTGCTTTCGGGCGCGCGAGAGGCTCTTCTTCTCCTCCATGGCCTTTTCGTGGAGGACCGTCCTCGTCTCCTGTCGCAAGCGTCGCGTGAATTGCTTGTAGCTCTCATTCGGCCGCATACTCTCGAACTGTAATGGCAATTAAGTGCTTCCGTGGTGAGCAACGCGTCGCACACGCACGCACCACCGCACACGCACGCGGGGATGGTATATGGGAAATACCTTGATCTTCTCTGGAGGTGTCTCGGTCTTCTGTTTCTTCGTCTCGGGCTCGGCGTCATCGGCCTCCTTCTCGTCCTTGACGTTCGCCTTCGTTTCCTGGCCCGCCTTCTTCCTCTTCTTGCCGGCAGCTGCTGCGCCCTTGTCGCCCTGCGCTGTCGTCGTGGTGGTGGCCGTAGACGCATCCTCCCCTCGCTTGCGCTTTCCCTTGCTCGCTGTTTTTGATAATAAAAAATAAACAAAATAGATCAATAATTAATATTCCATAAATGAAGGGATAATAAAGAAATGAAACAAACAACAAAATGAGATGAAAGTTGTTGATTTGCCAAGCGATCAACTTGATTCCAATTTAATTCTTAGCGAGAAAAATCTTGGAGATGATTAGCTTTGCGATTGTTGGAATGATTAACGCAACGAGATGGGAGGGGGCATCACCTTCGATTTCTTTCATCTTCTCCTGAGCGGCGATCATGCGCCGGAGGGAGGCGGGCATCTGTTTGGTGGGATCGCTGCCGGCGGGCTTCGGGGGCACATTCTTACCTTCCGGACCCAGGAGATCAGGCTCCTTGTTGATCTGGTATTGGAACTGCTTCGCCTTCTTGTACCGCGCCACTCGTCCCATTGTTCTCTTGTTGGGTCTGAAAATAAATAAAAATAAAAACAACAGATTATTTCTTTTCTTTGTTTTATTGACCTCTTCAGATCCGTTTTTAATTCGCACTACGCTTTTGCGCGGCGAAGATGTCCTTCATCACCAAGGTACTTTAGGGCAGCTCTAGTTCTGGTGACATGTTGTTTCTCCTTCTTGAGTGCCATCTCGCCAATCGCTCATTTACAGGAATTGAGCATTGGCAACTGATTTTCATCTTTATTTGATTTGGCTGGTGGTGTGCTCTGGGCAGCGGTGGCGGCAGTTCGTGGCCAACCGGGTGGGCCAGCACGTCGAGTCCGGCTCGTTCCAGGAGAACCTCGACACCTTCAAGGCCTGCTTCCTCACCTCCTACCACCGCCACAAAAGGTAACACGACACACACGACCAGCGACACGACACGCACTGGCTAACGCCATCGCACACGCACACACTCCACCGCACACGCGTCACGCACCGCACACGCACATGCAGGCACATTCCAGTCACGCCAGAGAACAAGGCGCTGTTGGAGGACACGAGCGAGCTGGATGCGGAGATGACCCGGATGTCGTACCTCAAGCAGAAGACCGTCGTCCGCAAGGACGTCCACGGGCAGGTCCTCGACCTCTTCAAATTCGTGCACGAGCTGGGTACCCCCCACATTGCATTCTCTGCACTCACTGAACGCATTGTTGCTGTTGCTGACATCGTAACGTGTCGTGTGTGTGCGTGTGCGTGTGCGTGTCCTGTGTGCGTGTGTGTGTGTCGTGTGTGTCGTGTGTCGTGTGCGACGAATGGAGGTGGCATGGACCCGTACCCGCAGCCGCTGAATCCCGCCAAGGAGGAGTCCTTTGAGGCCGAGCTTGACCAGGTCACCCGCCACACAGAACAAGGTCCGCGCACTGCACTAGCCCATTCGTTCACTCGGTTGTTTTCTCTTTGTTTTGGTTGCATCTCTTGTGTTGCGTGTGTGTTGTTGCGAGTGTGTCATGTGTCATGTGTCGTGTGTGTCGTGTGTGTCGTGTGTGTCGTGTGTGTCGTGTGTGTGTCGTGTGTGTCGTGTGTCGTGTTGTTGTTTTTCTCACGCAACTGAGTTTGCTCGCTTCAGAGCTGAGCCGCGACGAGCG